GGCCTTCAGCCCAGGGCTTGATCCTGGAGACTCGGGATCGAGTCCCACGTCAGGCTCCCTGCATGGAGCCTGCTTCTCCCTCTGCCTGTGCCTCTGCCTCTCTCTCTCTCTGTGTCTCATGAATAAATAAATACAATCTCAAAAAAAAAGATTTCATACATTAAGGTATGTGAAATAGTCAATGTGTATTTGATATATCAATATGGTAATATGTAGTAGTATATATTATTATTTTTTTAAAGATTATTTATTCATTTATTCATAGAGACACAGAGAGAGAGAGAGAGGCAGAGACACAGGCAGAGGGAGAAGCAGGCTCCATGTAGAGAGCCTGACATGGGACTGGATCCAGGGTCTCCAGGATCACGCCCTGGGCTGCAGGTGGCGCTAAACCGCTGTGCCACCGGGGCTGCCCCTGTAGTAGTATATATTAAAATTATATTTATAATGTGATAGTTTTCAATTTATGGTAGAAATATACCACGTTTTCTTTTATTTTTATGTTTATTTTTTTGAGATTTTATTTTTTAATTTGAGAGAGAGAGGAGAGAGCACAAGTAGGAGGAGAGGCAGAGGGAGAGGGAGAGGGAGAAGCAAACTCTCCGCTGAGTAGGAAGCCTAACTGCAGGGCTCATCCCAGGACCTAGGATCACAGCCTGAGCTCCTGGCCTGAGCTCCTGACCCAGCATCCGAGCTGGAGGCAGTTAACCAACTAAGCCATCCAGGTGCCCTTCAAGTTTTCTTTTAAAATACTTACTTGTGTCAGAGACACCACCGGTATCATAAATAGAGGGGGGAGCTAAGGTGGAATCATAAGGGTTTGCAAACTACAAACTGCAGAGCACTTTGCAAGTTAAGAATCTTATGCATAGCCTGGTCTCCTCTCAGGGAAATTCACTTCAGTGGAATTTAGAAAAAGACATGAAATAAAAAGCTCACTCATTTGTTCAGCAAATATTTAACAAGCACTTAATCAGTGAGAGCTCTTTCCATCACAAGTGACAGAAAATCCAACCCAAACTAGCTAAAGCAAAAAGAGGCTCTTGCCATTGGAAATTTCAACATTCACGGCTATTAGATGATATGAAGGAAATAACTGTTCATTTCTTGGTGGAATGCCTGATTGGCTCAGCTCAGTTAATAAGCCCCGTGTCTGGCTCCAGGGACAGAGAGCTCCTCAGCCGTTGGCCAGAAGCCAGAGAGGGACATTGGCGGTGGGGACAACAAGCATCTGCTTCTGTGTGCCAAGTTCCATGCTAGGAACAGAAAAACGGATAGGGCACAGTCTCTTCCTGTCAGGGGACTTCTCATCCACAAAAACAATGGTTCACGTTTTCATCAATTTCATTTTTTTCTGCCTTAGACTACACAGGTCTGACATAATCAAATATCCACCTGAACTACAAAGCTTAATGTGAAAATAGCCTATTAACTCTCTCTCTTTTTAAGATTTTATCTATTTGAGAGAGAGAGAGAGAGAGAGAGAGAGACTGAGCAGGGGTAGGAGGGCGGGGGGGGGAGAGAGAGAGAGAGAGAGAGAGAGAAAGAGAGAGAGAGAGAATCTCCAGTAGACTGCACTGAGCACAGAGCCTGACATGTGGGCTGGATCCTAGGACCCTAAGATGATGACCCAAGCTGAAACCAAGACTCAGATGCTCAACCAACTGAGCCACCTGGGCGCCAGCCTATTAACTCTCATCCCGAATTTCATATACATGCCAGTTTGATCCCATATGTGGTAGATGGAGACCCAGCATGGCATGAGCTGACCCCCCCAAATGAGCCCTCCCTTGCTCCCTTGCCCTTATATTTCTGCTAGAAACAGCTCAAAAGAGATTGGTGCCTGCTGCCTTCTGAAGCCAGGTCAGGCAGGTCTGATTATTTCAGGGACAAATGCCCCGGAGGTGCTCAGCCCAGGCACAGCTTTTGCAGAGGTGCTGACACAGAATAATCATACCTTACTTTTTTTTTTTTAAAAGATTTTATTTATCTATTCATGAGAGAGAGGCAGAGAGAGAGAGAGAGAGAGAGAGAGAGAGAGAGAGAGGCAGAGACACAGGCAGAAGGAGAAGCAGGCTCCATGCAGGGAGTCTGATAAAGGACTCGATCTGGAACTCCAGGATCATGCCCTGGGCTTAAGGCAGGTGCTAAACCACTGAGCCACCCAGGTGTCCCTATACCTTACATTTTGTGAGCAATTACTCTGAGTCAGGCATTGTTCTCAATAATTTTTTTTTTTTTTAAGATTTTGAAAGACACAAGAGAGGCAGAGACATAGGCAGAGGGAGAAGCAGGCTCCTGTAGGGAGCCTGGGATCACCACTCGAGCCAAAGGCAGATGCTCAACCACTGAGCCACCCAGGTGTCCCTCCTTGCTGAAGATTTTAATTCTGGGGTGAGGGCACAGAGACTGGCCTGAACCAGCCTTGTGATGGAACAGGCATCTTGATCGACGACATTTCCTGGCACTGAACCTAAGGGGAGGGTTGTTCTACCAGGGGATACCAGGCAGACCCAAGGAGCAGTATCCCCTGGAAATGCCATTTGGTTAGGCCAGGGGTCTGTTCTTAGCTTTTTGTGTGTGTGTGTGTCATAGACATCTTCCTAGAATAATGTTTTTAAATGCATAAGAGACAGAGGATTACAAAGGAATCCAAAGATGATGAAATATTAGAATAGGTAATACGCATTTTTTTGGGTAATATGCATTTTTTTAAAGATTTATTTATTTATTCATGACAGACACAGACTGAGAGACAGGCAGAGTCACAGGCAGAGGGAGAAGCAGGCTCCATGCAGGGAGCCCAATGCAGGACTCCATCCCAGATTCCAGGATCATGCCCTGAGCTGAAGGCAGGTGCCCAACCGCTGAGCCACCCAGGCGTCCTGGTAATATGCATTTTTTAATTAACTCATTAAATGACAAGCTCTAGCAGTGACCTAGTGATATGGTTATTTTGAAGTACAGATCAGTATAAACAGTATTTTGAAAAGTCTGCAGCAACTGGAATGTGTTATGAAAATATCTGTGATTGCTATTGAGAACAAAGTCTTGGGTACTGCTACTAGGACTGTGGCTGGTCATCTAACCTCACCAGTGAAGGAGAAGCTAAACTTCCGGTAGCAGATTACGAGAAATAATGCAAGCATTTTCCTCACTCAGGGACTCCCTGATTTAAGCTGAGATCCTCTCTTGGCATTTTGCAAAAATGTGAACAGTATAAGATTAAGTGGAAAAAAAAAACCCAACCAAAACCAAAACCAAATCCAACAACAAACAGATTACAATACAGTGGATTTGCAGTTGATTGTATTTTTCCCCCCAGGAGAAAATCAAAACATTTGTGTATTATGAAATACACCCAGAACGGTTTATGAAAAATATTTCATACTTCAAAATAAAGAAAGGAGAAACCAAGCCTCAGCACTGCCTTCCCAAGCCTTGGCCTGGGGCTTCCCAGGGCCTCTTTGGGGGCCACAGCGTGGGGGGCCGGCGCGAGGAGGGTGTTTGCCTGGGTATCTCCCCACCCTACCCTTGAACAATACCCTTGAAGTCAGTTTGTCAAATAAGTTCAGGGTGTCCTGACACACGCATAGGCTGGAAGATGGGGAATGATTTTCAGCGAGGCCTGAATTTGGTCCATAATCAGCGTTGTGAACTCAGGTCGACCTCAAATCTCTCTTGATCTCAAATCCGCGCAGCTGGGTCTCCCGGCTCCAACCTCCAGGCTCTTGTTATTCACGTGGGCCTTATTCCACCAGGTACTTTACAGTCTATGAACCTCGGACCAAGGAGCACGGAAAGCAGAGCTGCTGCGGTCCCCGGAGCAAGAGGAGGTGGATGGAGAGGCAGGAGACCGCAGAGACTGGAAGGCTCCGCAGGCGGGGGCTTGCGACCAATGCTGATTCGGGTTCCAGGAAAGAGAGCACGTAGTCCCATCAGGATGGCCCAGGATGGAGACGGGGAGCCCGGGGCGGGGCAGGACGCGGCTCCCTTCCAGTTGCGAACCCTCGTCATTCCCACGTACCAACCGATTGTAAATTGGGATTTCCTTAAAAGACGCCCCTCGCCCTCCTGGCTCCTCCCCCTGCGTCGGGGGTACAATTTAGAAGCGAGCCCCCGCGCCAGGAGCACAGTTGAACAACTTCGCTGGGGCGTGTAGAGCCGGAGCAGTTACTTCCGAGGATCGGGGTATTCCCAGGTCTTTTGTGGGGTGGAAACAGACGTTAACATTTCCTAGGTCCCGACGCTAACTCTCCTAAGGAGGACTAAAGCAAAAATTGTAGGCAGGTTCCCTCGCGACCGCGGCAGGACTCGAACCTGCAATCTTCTGATCCGAAGTCAGACGCCTTATCCATTAGGCCACGCGGCCGCCCGACGCCTAGTGCTCTTCGGGCAATCTGAAAAGTAGCATTACCGCCCACCGGCTTGCCTGGGACCAATCCACTTGTTGCTTGGGCAGGGGGGAGTTTGGACTTTGGCTCTCAGAGTTCCGTAGGGAGAACCCACCCGGAAGTTCCCCTCTCCCCCCTACGGCCGGACCGGTCCACTTGAGGCCCTCCTATTGGTCGCGCCGGGAGTCTCCCTCCTGCCTCTCGGTAGCCGCGGGACCGAGCGGGGCGCAGACGGGAAGTTGCAGCTGCCAGCGAGGCGGACTGGTCGGCTGGAGGCCACACGCCACCCCGAGGCTGCGTAGGCCGCGCGGAGAGGGACGCCGCGCCGTCGGCCTGGGGTCGGGGTCGCGGCCCGGGAAGCACCGGACGGACCGAGGTTTCCGGCGGGTCGGCCCGGGGAAGTGGAGGCGGGGGAAGCCTGGTCGCCGAGCGGCGGCGCGGCCTCTCCCTCCCCGGTCAGGGAGCGAGGCCCGGAGCTGGGCGGAGGCTTGTCCCAGGGCGCACCGCGGCGCCGTGGGGCTCGGGCTCGGGCTCGGGCTCGGGCTCGGGCACGGCCGGGCGCGCGGGGGCTGCGGGGGTGGGTGGGGGCCCGGGGGGCCGGCGGCCCGCCCTGCGGTTTCGGATCCGGGGCCTGGCACCTAGCGGCGTAGGCCCTCGGGGCCGCGCCGGTCGCCGTCATGGCAGCCACAGTCTGCCGGGCGTTCGCCGGGGGTCGGGTCTCGCGACTTGTTCGCCCTGAGTCCCTCGGACAGCGGTCTTGTGGGACAGGTAGAATCCGTACCCCCATTTCACGGAGCAGGAGACTGGGGCCTTAGGGAGCTCGCCCAAGGTCACGCATCTCCTAACAGCCGGAGCCGGGATTCAAACCCGCCGCCGCGTCCTCCTCCCGGACCATCGCTCTTAACCCTGCTTCCCCCCCCCCCCGCCCGCCCGCCGCCAAGTTCACTGATGAACCTGCTTGCACCTCCGTGTCCTCAGGAGGGCTCTTGGTAATTGCCGTGGTTGTCCGATGCTCCACGGAGAACCTGCCCCTAAAGCGCCTGGCACGCTGCCTGGGACGCAGTCAGTGCCCGAGGAGCGAGGGCTTAGCACGGAATGCGGGCCGCACGCGTAAGAAATAACACTTGCTGTCGTCTGTCTCCTTCAGAATTTGTGGGTGGAAGGCAGGCATGGTCAGACCCATTTCACTGACTGGAAAACAGAGACAGGACGTGTCTCCCTCCACGTCTTTCGGCCAGTAAAAGCAGCCAAGCTGGAGCCCAAAGCCAGGTGTCCTGACTCCCAGCGGGGGGCTCCCTGCACCCACCATGAGCCGCCTGCTCTGGAAGAGGGTGGCCGGCGCCACCACCGCCGCGCCAGGGTCAGTGCCAGCTCCGGGGCGCTGGGTCTCCAGCTCCGGCCCCGCCCCCGTCCCCAGCGACGGGCCGCCGCGACCGCAGCAGCAGCAGCAGCAGCAGCAGCAGCAGCAGCAGCAGCAGCCGCCGCCGCCGCCAGCGCGGTCCTCGGAGGGCGGGCAGCTGCGGCACAACCCCTTGCACATCCAGATGCTCTCGAGAGGGCTTCACGAGCAAATCTTCGGGAGCGGCGGGGAGACGCCCGGCGAGGCCGCCGTGCGCCGCAGCATCGAGCACCTGCAGAGGCACGGGCTCTGGGGGCAGCCGGCCACGCCCTTGCCGGACGTGGAGCTGCGCCTGCCGCCCCTCTACGGGGGCAGCCTGGACCAGCACTTCCGCCTCCTGGCCCAGAAGCAGAGCCTGCCCTACCTGGAGGCGGCCAACTCGTTATTGCAGGCCCAGCCGCCCCCGCGGCCCCCGAGCTGGGCCTGGGTGGAGGGCTGGACCCGGTACGGCCCCGCGGGGGAGGCCGTACCCGTGGCCATCCCCGAGGAGCGGGCCCTGGTGTTCGACGTGGAGGTCTGCTTGGCAGAGGGAACTTGCCCCACATTGGCGGTGGCCATATCCCCCTCGGCCTGGTGAGTAGGGGCTGGGCGCTGGGGACTTCACATGTGCAGGAGGTGGGTGGGGGGTGTCCCAGCTTAGTAGTTCCGTTCAGTGAATTTTACTGAGCTCCCAGTCTGTGCTACTCGGGTGCTCTCCTAGGGACTGCGGATTCTGTGGTGAAGTCAAGTGAAATAGGCTTGACCTCAGGTTTCACAGAGCTTACTTTCTGGCGGAAAGACACAGGCAGTAAACAAATATCCAAGCACAAGTCAGGTGGCAATAGGGGTTGTGTGGAGAACAATAGTAGGTTGTACTTGGGACTGTGGTGGGAGACCACTTGAGGTCACCTTGATTTGGTGCTTTCCCCCCTCCCCTAAATGCTTCCTGAGAAGTTAGTTCAAGGCATTTGAACAGTGTCTCTATTTGGGAATGCTGTTGATTATTGTGGGCAGAGACGCTGGACCAAGTATCTACGCAGTGTCGCCAAACAGACTCCCACCCCGAGGTAGAATTCCCCCACACCTAGCCTATTGCCCCCAGTTGAGAACCATTGCTTCCTGCCCCCAGCCTCCCAGATGCATTTTGGCCCAAACAGGTGTATCCAAATCTCTCTCTCTCCTTTTTAAATAACTTTCTAAGTGCTACCCACGTTTCTTTTTCAAACAATGATGGCAGTCCTGTTTCTCCCCTTTTTTTATTCTTCATTCCAGGATTAAAATACTATTTACAACCTTAATGCTTTCAGGCATGGCCAGCACAAAAGTTAGCAGTTTATTTATTCCTATTGGAAGCTACATCTTTGTAAAGAAAGCTGCGAAATGTTAAATATGCAGTTGAAAATGGTGAAAACATGGCTAAATAGATAAGGTAGGCATTAATGGCTGCAAAGAGCAAAACCAGGTTCCGCATTGATTTAGTTCCAGTTGAGATGAGAATCTCCGTGCTTACTTTGTAACTTGATGGTCAAAACAGAGGGAGTACCAGCCACCGATTGAAGGTGAAGCAGGCTATGGTGGCTGAGGGAAAATTAGGAGACCAGTGACAAGAAAGCCTTGTGTTTTGATCTCTTGGTCATTCTTGGCCATTTTACCTGAAGTCCACCTTTTCTCTTCCTCCTCCTCCCTCTCCCTGTCCTCCTCTCATCCTCATTCCATTCTCACCAGTATGGGGGGTGGCGCTGTTCAGTATATGCCTGGTGGCACAGGGACCTTCTTCTGGGGAGCCTGATTGTGTAGGGGGGTGTGCAGGGTACCGGATGGGGCCATCAGAGCAGTCCGCTGTGAGCTTGGGCACGTCCCTGCCATGGCTGTGTAACCTTAAGTTCCAGGCCAGCCCAAGATTTCGGGGCTGCAGTGGAGGGTTCAGCTTCCCAAAGGCTGTGGCTGAGGACTTTGGTCGTCACCCTAGGGGACATCGCACAGGGGCCAGCATTTGTCTGAGATTCACAGGATGAGCATAGAGTTTTGATGGCATTGATCTGGTTCCTCTTAAACGTACCAAAGGTGTTTGCACATTGGCTTCTTTTATCACAAATGTGTAGTGAGATGGCTCTCATGCGCAGCTGTAGACCTGGATCTTGCCACCAGTCTAGCCTTTTATTGCACCTAGAGTTCCTGTCGTCACCATAGCCTCAAATATTTGACATCTTCAGGCCTCTTTTTCAGTGTTGTTTTTAAGGGCTCTAAATGGGGAGGATGTTTCAATTTGAGTCCTAGAGTGTATCGCCACCACTTGGAGTGTGGGTTAGATTTTAGCAGGTTTAAAACGAGGAACCCCTTTTTGCCGGTAGCCCCCTTCCCTGCAGAAACCACTGTCTGTTGAAACTGGAGGCAGATGCCCACCCCCCCTGCCAGGGTTGCCTGGAGCTCTGTGCACAGCTGTGAGGGCCCTATGTGGCCCTGGCGCTCATTTGATGCCGAGTGGCTCTGATCTTTTGGCATCACCTGTGATTTACAGTGGGCTTTGGCTCGGCTGCCATTTCCCCACGCTCAGCCTTGTGAATCTTGGGCACCCTCCAGCCTTTCCCTGCGTCAGGGTCCGGCACCCGCAGGCAGTGCTCCTACTCTGCCCTCAGTCCACCCATTATGTGGGCAGGTGGTCGTCCAGTCCAGTCTCCCCTCCAGTCCTAACACTTGCCCTTGGCTCCCCCAGGTGGGGCTCAGGCCCAGCACCTGCTCTGAGGTGCAGGACATTCTCTTGGGCCTTTGGAATCTCTCTAGCTGTTAGATGATTCATCCTGTACATGTGTGGCATTTGTCTTTTTTTTCTATTGCCACTCCCCCCCACCCCCCACCCCCAATTTGCCGCATGTAATCGTCTCTTTTACTGGTATTTTGAATGCTTACTGTTTTGTGCTTATGGACCTGAGGGGTTGACCGTGCTTGGAAACGGCACAGACTTTGTGAGTGCCGGACCTCACACACACCTTGGTGGCCCAGGCCCTGGTGCCCTTGTAGGACATCCAGTACTGTGGCATTTAGCTCCATCTGTATCTGTGGATGCGAAAAGTAAAGGAGTTTTTCTGGCCTCCCCCCACACACCCCCAGTCACTCTCTAGCTCTGTGAGGGTCGGGAGTACCCACCTGGTCTTGCCTACATCCCAGCTGCTATCATGGGAGCTGACTTGCGACGGTACGTGTGCTGTGGGTGTCGTGGAGCAGAAGGAAGTGTCATGCCTCCTGCCGAACTTGCTGCCTTTCGCCCCCCTCAGGTATTCCTGGTGCAGCCGGCGGCTGGTGGAAGAGCGTTACTCTTGGACCAGCCAGCTGTCGCCGGCTGACCTCATTCCTCTGGAGGTCCCTGCCAGTGCAGGCGGCCCCACCCAGCGTGATTGGCAGGAGCAGTTAGTTGTGGGGCACAACGTTTGCTTTGATCGAGCCCATATCAAGGAGCAGTACCTGATCCAGGTGAGGTTCCTGGGGCTGGGGTAGCTTCTGGTAAGGGGTGGCCTAGCTCTGACCTCAGTGGCTAGGGAAGGCGTTGCTTTTCCTGGCCAGGTCTCCTGTGTCTCTGTAGTGGCTGCGGGGCCTCCTGCTGGCCAGCCCTGCCCCTGGTCCCTGGGCCCAGCTGTTCATTCCCCTGGACTTGCCTGGTACGGGACCTGAGTGGTCGCAGAGTACGAGTAACCCTGGTGTCTGTGTGGTGTTTGAGAGTTAGCGTGGATCTTTGGAGAGTCTGGCCACATGGCCTGGGCTCATGGCCTGGGCTCACGTCCTGCTTCTGCCAGGGACAAAGTGGTGTGAGTGCCTTCATGTTCCCGAGCCTCAGTTTCCTTATTTGTAAAGCGTGCTTGTGGCATTCTTAATATTACAAGAAGTGCTCTTCTATCTAGTTCTCACAACTACCGCAGCAGAGAGGCAGGGCAGGTGTGAGCAGCCTTAGCGTATAGCTTCAGGTCAGCCTTACCGATCTGAGCAGGAGCTGCTGCAGTTTGTGAGCTGCAGGCTGGGGCTGGGGGCTAAGTCTGGGAGCTCAGATGGCCTCGATTTGGCTACCCTGTTCCCAAGGCAGCCCTCAGAGCTGTTGCTGGATGCTGGGAAGGACTTGTGTGTTGGAATTGAGCCAGGCCTGTACTCAGGGGTAGCTGGGATTTGGGAGGGCAAGCCTGTCATGGCTGGAGGGGAAACATGGGTAAGCATGAGGGGATAGCTTTAGTGTTGGAAGGCTGTGTGATGGTAGGGGGCTGAGGCGGGTTTGGGGGGGTGACGGCACCAAAGCAGGGCTGAGTGGCTTCAGCTGCAACCTCTGTTCTCAGGGCTCCCGCATGCGCTTCCTGGACACCATGAGCATGCACATGGCCATCTCAGGGCTCAGCGGCTTCCAGCGCAGTCTGTGGATGGCAGCCAAGCAGGGCAAGCGCAAGGCCCGCCACCCCACACAGCGAGGCCAGAAGTCCCAAAACAAAGCCAGTGGCCCGGTGGTGAGTGCTTACTGTGGGGGGCTGGAGCCGGGCGCTTGGGACTGTCTCACCTGCCTGTCTGTCCCAGGGCTGAGCTAATCTGCTATATTCCTTGGTCTGTCCCCCGCCAGATCTCCTCCTGGGACTGGCTGGATATCAGCAGTGTCAATAATCTCTCAGATGTGCACAGCCTCTATGTGGGGGGGCCTCCCTTAGAGAAGGAGCCTCGAGAACTGTTCGTCAAGGGTAGCATGAAGGACATCCGAGAGAACTTCCAGGTATAGTGCTGGGGAGGGACTCTGGGGAGGTGGGTGGGGGCAGACCTAGCTGACCCCGGGGAGTATAGCGGCAATACCTGACCCTGAGACCGGCGATGGTAGTGGGACAACTGCCCACCCAGCGCCTTCCTGTCGCCTGTGCCAGGCTCTGATGCAGTACTGTGCCCAGGACGTGTGGGCTACCTATGAGATTTTTCAGCAGCAGCTACCGCTCTTCTTGGAGAGGTGAGGGGGAGCCCCCGGGGGAACACCTGGGGGTTGGCAGTGTCCTAGTAGTATCTGGTCCTCTGTCAGAAGGTGTTACTGGGTCTTTCTCAGCCTATGGACCTTAGCCTTTCTGGGTTGAAAGAACAGAGCCTGGGTCCTGGACTCTGGTTTTCTAGAGGCCCTGGAGGGGGGCGCCAAGGGCTGTGGTTGTGTTTCATGCGTGTGTTCCCAGGTGATGCAGCACCCTCTAGGTACCCAGATCCTGGTCATGTTTGTTAGTGAGTCACTCTTGTGGTGTGGTCAGTCACAAGTATCCCCTAGACCAAGTTTGAATCTTGACTGTCCTCCCTCACTCTTTTGCCCTTGGGTAAGTCACTTGGTTTGTCAGAGCCTCAGTGTTTTTGTCTGTGAAGCAAATAATACTTGACCACCCTGGTTGTGAGGTTTGTCTGTGACCTAGCACAGTGCCTGGCACATGGTCGTTACTCAGGAGATGGCACCCGTTTTCATTTTCACTCCTAACTCCTAATAGGAGTAACTCCTATTTCTCCTGGGGACGGGATGGTACTTTAGATACTTGATAGATAAAGGAACTGAGGCTCAGAGAAGCGGAGCCACTTACTCAGCCAGTGTCTCACGCCTCCCAAGTCGTTGATCTGGGGTCAAGCTGTGGTTGAGACCCTGGTCTCCCTTCAGAGCTACGTCACATGGGTAGTTAGGTTGAGGCTTGCTAGACGGGCTCAGGGATTGCGCCAGAGCCTTGCTTTCTGTGGTCATTTATGACCTCCCTGGTGTTTGTCCCCCCCCCCCCCAGGTGTCCCCACCCGGTGACTCTGGCTGGCATGTTGGAGATGGGGGTCTCTTACCTGCCTGTCAACCAGAACTGGGAGCGGTACCTGGCAGAGGCACAGAACACCTATGAGGAGCTCCAGTGGGAGATGAAGAAGTCGCTGATGGACCTGGCCAATGATGCCTGCCAGCTGCTCTCAGGGGAGAGGTAGCCAGGCCTTGGGAGTGTGGGAGCTAGGTGAGTACGGGCAGGCCAGAGGCCTGCCTCTGGATTGGCCTAAAGCTTCTCTGGTGGACTGGCTCTGCAGGTACAAGGAGGACCCCTGGCTCTGGGATCTGGAGTGGGACCTGCAAGAGTTTAAGCAGAAGAAGGCAAAGAAGGTGAAGAGGAAGGAGCCAACTGCAGCCAGCAAGTTGCCCATCGAGGGGGCTGGGGACCCCAAGGATCAGGAAGGTGGGGAGCATGGGCGGGAGGTGGGGTGGGGATGGTCCTTGGGAAGGTTGGAAGGGATCTCTCCGGCCTTCAGAGATGAGTCGGCTGGGCAGGTCTTCCTGAGAGACCCTTCTGCTCCTGATTGTCATGCCTACTGTGTGCAGACCCTGGCCCTCCCAGTGAGGAGGAGGAGGTTCAGCGAGATGTCACGGCCCGCGCCTGCTTGGAGCACCTGAAGGGGACCGCAGAGAGCCTGCCAAAGCGGCCCCAGCACCTTCCCGGACACCCTGGGTGAGCCCTAGCTCCTCATATATGTAGAGTCTACCCTTCCCCTGCCTTAGGGCTTTTCTGTCACTGGTGTGTGTGTGGCCCTTACTGACCTGCTGCTGTTCGTTCTGTCTTCCAGTCACTTGCTCACTCTGACCCCTGGCTCCCTGGTCTCATTCAGTACAACTGCACTGAGCACCTGCTGTGTGCTCGGCCCACCACCACCACCACCTCTGGGGGTGCAGATAGGAACACAGCTCCTTTCTAGGAGCTGCTGCTCCCTGGGAGGAGCTAGGCGTGAAGACCAAGCAGTGCAACTGGCCTTCATATTCATGATGAGAAGGAAGAGTGAGCAGTGTTGAGGCAGTACCTAAGTCTGCCTGGGGAAGTCAGGGATGGCTTCCTTGAGGGAGGGGATTTTTTTTATTTGAGCCTCATAGACTGGCAGAGATGAGAAAATAGGGGCAGCCAGGGTTAAGAACGGGGTGTGGACTTGGCACTTGGAGGATCCTGAGAGTGAGGTCTCCTTAAGCTGTGTGCTCCAGGTGCCTCCCTTGGCTCCCCCTCGGGTTGGCCCTGGTGAACAGCATGTGAGAGATGGAGCTCTGAAGGCCCTGCTGTGTTCCTGGAGCAGCGGTGTGGCACTGTCTCCTGGCCAGTTACCCTGTATGGACTGGAGCTGGGGAATGAGCCCGGTGCTGGGCCATCCTTGTAGGTCCTTGGCTTCTGATGAGGCCAGTGGGCCTGACCTAGGATGTTCCTTTTCAGATACTTGAATTATTCTAGGGGAGCTCATGGGGATTATGGGTGTACACCCGAGGGAGGGGCCTGTGGCTATAGGCTGAGGTTACTGGAAAGCCTTGGGGCTTTAGAGGGTGGACAGGTGGGTCAGGTCATGGGAGAGAGAACCTGGCTTGTCACATGCTGTCCATCCCCAACACTGTGACACTGCTCTCCTCTGGCGGGGCATAGGTGGTACCGGAAGCTCTGCCCCCGGCTAGATGACCCTGCATGGACCCCGGGCCCCAGTCTCCTCAGCCTGCAGATGCGGGTCACTCCAAAACTCATGGCGATGACCTGGGATGGCTTCCCTCTGCACTACTCGGAGCGGCATGGCTGGGGATACCTGGTGCCCGGGCGGCGGGACAACCTGGCTCAGGCACCAGCGGAAACCGCCCCAGCCTCAGCTGGGGTGGCCTGCCCGTACAGGTGAGGCTCAGGCTCAGGGAAGGAAGGGGTGGATCTAGGGCCTTCTCCCCTTGCTGGAAAACCCAAGCCCAGCTCTGGTTAGTGGAAGAGTTGGGGTCTGAGAGTCCTGGTGGGCATCTTTTTTTTACCTTTGGGGCTCAGAGCCCTCCACTTGGGTCCACTGGCACAGCTGCCTTCACAGGACTGTTGCAGAGCGGGGGCTGTCAGGGACAGCCGGGGATATGGGCTGTCTTTCTTTTTTGTGTGTGATTGAGGACTAGTTATATTCTGTGATTGGAAACCTTTTGTAGTGCTCTCTCCTTTGTTTCCAGGCAGCCACGTGACATAGAATGGCTATCCCCATTTTAGAGTTGGCAAAATAAAGGCCTAGGGAAATCCTTTGACTTGTCTGAGATTCTAAACCTCAGGCTTTTGACAGGCAGGTGTGGGGGACAAGCCATGGCACTTGACGTGGCCCAGGTTGGGAGCCCTGGCTCTGCAGGATAGCCTGAATCACCTGTGGGGCCCTTGGGGACAGAAGGGGCTGGAACCTAGTGGGGACGGCTGCATGGCCTCCAGAGCTTTCCCAGGGAAGGCAACAGCTGAGCTGGTGAGGAGCTTAGATTTGGGTCAGAGCAGCCCCTGCATCCTCACCTGCCACCGCGTGGTGTTTTACTTGTGATTTGTCACTCCCTGTCTGAAAACCAGGGGAGAGCACTGCGCATCTCTTCCTCAGAGCTGGTTCTGAGGCCTAAGTAAAGGGAATTGTGCAAGGCCCCAGTGAGCTCCCTGGCCCAGAGTGGGCCCCCAGTAATCAGGGGCTGCTGCTGCTGTTCTCTGCCCAGAGCCATCGAGTCCCTGTACAGGAAGCACTGTCTTGAACAGGGGAAGCGGCAGCCGGAGCCCCAGCAGGCAGGCCTGGCGGAGGAGTTCCTGCTCACCGACGGCAGCGCCGTATGGCAGACGGTGAGGGCAGCCCGAACCTGGGCTCTAGAGTCTCTGCTCCCTCCCAAGGATGGGGGGGGGGGGGCTCCTGGGTGGGGGTGGTAACCCAAGGGCACTGGGTGGCTCCCCCTGGGCCGGCTGTCTGCGTGTGGTGGGTGGAGCTGGCCAGCCAGTCCCCCTACTTTACTTCCTATGTACCTGAGCCCATCCAGGTGGAAGAACTGGGCTGCATGGAAGCGGAGGTGGAGGTGGAAGCAGAGGTGGAGGCCAGGGTGGAGCGCTGCGGAAGGGCAGGCCTCAGTCAGCCCCCGGCTCTGGTGAGCAGGGCTTCTGCTCTGGGGTTCTCTGGCTCTTGTGCCCAAGTAGCTCTCCCCTGCCAGAGAGTTCCCAAGGTCCTGGGCAGGGGGGTGGAAGGCAGCATGCATGTTGCTGCCTTCCCTTTGGGTGGCTCTGTATTTGTTGGAGTCCAAGGAGGGAGCCTGAGGCCATCCTGCCATTTCTCAGCACCGCTGTTGGCCACTTCAGGCCCATTTCCCACACCCTACCCCATGGCCCTCGCTGAATGCAGGTGCTGGAGCAGGGCCTCATCTAGGTGTGTGGCCCCCACAGACTGCTGCTGGTGGCCCCAGAGCCAGCCAGCCAGCCTATCACCATGGCAACGGACCTTACAACGATGTGGACATCCCCGGCTGCTGGTTCTTCAAGCTGCCTCACAAGGTGTGTGTCCTGACTCATGCCTGTCCCATACTGCCCAGTGTCTCAAGCTCCCAGGCCCCAGAGTGACTCAGCCCAGAACCACCCTTGCACGGGATCAACACGCGTAGTGGCATAGGGTGTGCTCCTAGGCAGTTCCCTAGGACTCCTCCGCCAGGCCTGCCTGCTGGGGCCCCATCTTTTCCAGTCTTTGCCTCCTGGAAATGGGGTAGCGAGGGGTGTGGTGGTGCGATTAAATGACGGGGCCTGTCAGTGTCTGACAGCACTACACAATGGGCTCTGTCCACCACCGATGACAGTCTGTTGCTCGGGTCACCTGTGGTTCCAAAGCAGATGACCTTCCTGCTGGTGTGTCCTCAGAGGGTCACTAGTAGCCTGACGCTGCTGCACTCGCCTCACTTCATTGCTTTATGGGGAGCATTGTATCCACTCATGTCAGGGTAAGAAGAGTAAATACAGTACATGAGAGATTTTGAGAGAGAGGAGCCAAGTTCACTAGCTTATTACAGTTTACTGTTCTCTTTACTAGGTAGTAATAATTTATCATAGATACACATAAGGGTCAGCACTCTCTGCACTTGGAGGCATCTGCTGGGAATGTGGAAACACCCACCCTCCACCCGTGTATGTCTCTGTGCTGCATGTGTGTTGCAGTCAGAGGTGTGCCCCAGACTGCTCTGCTCAAGATTCTGGGCTCAGTGTGGGCAGAGCTGAGGAGCATGGGGCACCAGGGGGCTCCCTGTCCAGGGGTCTGTGCCAGCTTCCAGCCCCTGATGCTTTTGCCTTTTGCAGGATGGTAGCGGCTGCAATGTGGGCAGCCCTTTCGCCAAGGACTTCCTCCCCAAGATGGAGGATGGCACCCTGCAGGCCGGCCCAGGAGGTGCCAGTGGACCCCGTGCCTTAGAGATCAACAAAATGATTTCTTTCTGGAGGAACGCCCATAAACGAATCAGGTGGGCTGCTGTGGGAGGGCAGAAGTGGGACCCCTTTCCTGCACCTTTCCCACCCAGAGGCCCCCGGCCCCATCCGTGCTGCACTAGAGGGACAAGCCTGGCCACAGTCTGGCTGCCTGTGGTTCTGGTTCTGGTGTCATGTGAGTGCGGGCAAGTCCCTCCGTGGCCTCCGTTTCCATGTCTGTGTGGAAAATGGTGCGGTAGGGCCCAGATATGGCGTAGCTGCTGAAGCCCTGATATGGCTGAGGAGCGTAGGGGGCTGCTGGACTGGGAGCCTGGGGGCCTGGGTCCCCCCCCGCAGGGCTGGCACTGGGGGGCCGTGGCTCCAGCAGCACGCATGCTGCTGCCAGAAGGGTGCTGCCATCACCACTGAGGTCCACTCCACGTGTGGCCGAGGCGCTCATGGCAGGGCTGAGGTCAGATGCCTCACAAGCACTGTAGGGCAGAAGCTATTGGATGGCGTATGACCCTGGATGGCAGATTCTGGGGCCCCAGGCCTTGGCCGTGTCACAGCCCACCCTGGTTAAAGTCAGTGGGAAGAGCGTGAGGCTGGGCCAGGAGGGAGCACAGTAGCCCCAAGTTGGGCGTGGGGTGGATTCTGCTCCTTGGGGCTGCTCTGAGCCTTAGTTCCATCTGTCCCCACAGCTCCCAGATGGTGGTGTGGCTTCCCAGGTCGGCTCTGCCCCGTGCTGTGACCAGGTATGGGCTGCCTAGTGATTGTGGGGACAGGAGAACTGAGCAGGGTGGGACATAGGACCAAAGCTGCCAGGACTCATGTGTCCTGCCCCCGGCCAGGCACCCAGACTACGACGAGGAAGGCCGCTATGGGGCCATCTTGCCGCAGGTGGTAACCGCTGGCACCATCACCCGCCGGGCTGTGGAGCCGACGTGGCTCACTGCCAGCAATGCCCGGGTACGTGCCCTCTGTACCTCCGATCCCTGTTCTTCCTCTCCTCTGTCTCTAGAAACTGGGGTGTGGAGGGCTTTCCATGAGGAGCAGGAAAAGGAACCTAAGATCAGGGGCAGGCAGGACTCAGGCCAGAAGTAGCTCTGCTGCTTGTCCATTCCTTCAGCCGACTGGATCTGGGCCCCCCTCATTGACAGACATTGAGGAGGCACGAGGGGTGTGCGGCTGTGGTGGAGTGGAGGTGGGCCCAGAGCCAGGCAGGTGTGGAGGGAGGAGTGGTTTCCTGCTGCCACCAGGCAGCCGTCCCGGGGTTTGGGGCAGTGCTTGGCAGTTCCTGGACCCCAGCCCCCCTCAGGAGAGGCCCAGTGCTCTCAGTCCAGTCTGGCTTCAGGGAATGCGGGGGCGGGAGTCTCCCTGGGGTGTCTGGGTAGGGCCTGACCTCCCTCTTCTGCAGCCTGACCGAGTAGGCAGTGAGTTGAAGGCCATGGTGCAGGCCCCACCTGGCTATGTCCTCGTGGGCGCCGACGTGGACTCGCAGGAGCTGTGGATCGCAGCCGTGCTGGGAGACGCCCACTTTGCTGGCATGCATGGTGAGCAGGGGCCAGGGCTGGGCCAAAGCGGTGGCCACGTTGCTGGCAGCGTGTTCCCGAGCTGCTTTTCTCAAGCCTGTCTTCCCCCACCGCCCCACAGGCTGCACGGCCTTTGGCTGGATGACCCTGCAGGGCAGGAAGAGCAGGGGCACCGACCTGCACAGTAAGACAGCCGCGACCGTGGGCATCAGCCGTGAGCACGCCAAGATCTTCAACTATGGCCGCATCTACGGGGCGGGGCAGCCATTCGCTGAGCGCCTGCTGATGCAGTTCAACCATCGGCTCACACGGCAGGAGGCGGCTGAGAAGGCCCAGCAGATGTACGCCGTCACCAAGGGCCTTCGCCGGTGAGGGTCCCTCCCCCCATCCACAGCACCCTCTGCGTGTTCTGCTCCCCGTATCGAGGGCCCCTCTCCCTCTAGATCTCTGACCTGGCTCCAGGATGGTGGTCTTGGGGTTGTGGAAATTCTTTACTTAATTATCTTAAACAGTTTCTCTCACAATTAAGGCTGCACCTTGACATTGCCACCAAGCTAGCAGGTCAACAGCCGCAGTGGTGCGGCGCTGTGAACACGCTTGCAGGGAACACATGAGGGCAGGGGCAGGGGTGGGACGGTAGTGTCAGCAGCAGGTAGCCGCCAACCCCAGAGACCTGGGACTGACTTTTCTGTAGGAGGACGCCTGGGCCTGCTCCAGCCTCTTTGCCCCGGGAGTACCACCTTGTGGGCTCCTAAGCAGCAGTGAGGGAGGGAGGTGCAGGTCTACCTTCCTTGGGGATGCTGTGCAGTGGCCGTGTTTGCTTAACTGGCCTCCTCGAGGGAGACTAAGGGGGGGGGTGGTAGGTGAGCGAGGGTGCAGTGGTAGATGTGGGGACTGTGCTGGGGGCAGGCAGGGGAGAGCCGTGAGGACAGGGGAGGTTAGGCCTTGGTTGGAGGCCTCTGAAGGGGTTCCAGGGGAGTCTGGATGGAGGGCGCAGGTCGTGGGGAAGCCCTGGTGCAGCTCTGAGGGGGTACACCAGGGCTGTGAGGCTGCACCGGAGCTGGGAACCAATGTGTCAGCCCGACCCAGCTGTATGTTGTCTTCCCCAAGTGCCCATTCCCTTCAGGGAGTAGCCCATAGCCTACCTTCCCTCCCTTCTGGGCTGGGAGCTCTTTTGTGCCTCCTGAGCTAAAACATGGTGCCTGTGGGGCACCAGGCAGTTCCGTGTCTGGGGGTCAGGACGGTAGTAACCCTACTGGCTCTCGTGTTGGGGTATGGCGTTTACTGGGCTACAGAGGCATAGCCCACAGAAGCCTGGGGTCCTGTCTGGGCTTTGCCTCTTCCTGGCAAGTCACTTGGCTTCTTGTAGCCTATTCCCTCTTGGGATTGGAGTCTCCGGGGATGGTCATGTGTACTGGGCTAAGCACTCCCATGGGAGTGACGGTGGTGACACTGCCCCCAGGTATCGGCTGTCGGAGGAGGGTGAGTGGCTGGTGAGGGAATTGGACCTCCCCGTGGACAGGACTGAAGATGGCTGGGTTTCCCTGCAGGATCTGCGCAAGATACAGAGAGAAGCTTCGAGGAAGTGAGAGCCTTCTGTGTATTAAAGATGGAGGGAGGGTCCGGGCTGGTCCCTGGAGAGCTGGGATGCTTTGTTCTTCACTCTGAGAAGCTGAAAGGCAAAGCTTGCCTCCCCCTGCTTTTCTGTTTTGGTCTCCAGGTCACGTTGGAAGAAGTGGGAGGTGGCTGCCGAGCGAGCGTGGAGGGGGGGCACAGAATCAGAAATGTTCAATAAGCTGGAGAGCATTGCCATGTCTGACACCCCATGTACCCCGGTGCTGGGCTGCCGCATCAGCCGCGCCCTGGAGCCCTCGGCTGTCCAGGGGGAGGTAGATTGCTCTCTTTGGAGGGGGGAGATGGGGGGAGAGGGGTCACAAGGGAAGGACAGGGCTCCCTTACCTCCCACCCCTCCACGCTGCCCAGAGTGAGCCAGGGTGTGGCAAAATCCCTAACCTGTGCCTCCTTCGCCCCCAAGTTTATGACCAGCCGTGTGAACTGGGTGGTGCAGAGCTCTGCCGTGGACTATTTACACCTCATGCTCGTGGCCATGAAGTGGCTGTTTGAGGAATTTGCCATTGACGGGCGCTTCTGCATCAGCATCCACGATGAGGTCCGCTACCTGGTGCGAGAGGAGGACCGCTACCGCGCAGCCCTGGCCCTGCAGATCACCAACCTCCTGACCAGGTAGGTGGGGGCCTGTGGCCGCTTGGGCCTTTGGACCAGGCTGAGCATGCTCTTTGCGTTTTCATCTTCCTAGGAATGAGTGTTTCTTTTTCTATTGCTCATTGAAAAAATTTTCAAAAAGACAGGCTTCAACTTTTAAATTTCTCGGGATTGAAAAGATCATAAACCCAGACCTGATGAGAGATAGTGAGGAGGTCAGGTGTCCCAAGAGTAGCTGCCGTCTTGTACTCCCCTAGATGCATACCTTTGTTTTGAAAATCAAATGGAAAAAAAAAAATCAAATGAGACTTTTTTTTTTAATCCATAAGTGTTTCCTTAAGTGCCAAAAGTTTGTGATTCAGACTACCACCAGAAGACGTTGTGAATGAGAAAATTCATAGTAAAATTCCTAATTTACATGTTTGAATTCAGTAATTACAGTTCTGTGTGAGTCTGCCATCCAGAACTAGTTTGGGAAGCAGATCTCTCCTAATGGGTAGAGGTCCCTCTCCATCTTCCCCTGGGGGGTCGTGTCTGACAAAGCTAACAGAGTCCTTGGGCCACTCGATATTCAAATACACAAAAAGTCAAATGTTTTACATCAATAGTGTACTGAACTGCAGGACAAGAGTGTCTGGAGTCTCTCACTGCATTTTGGTCTGCCAGGGGGACGGGGAAGTGCCGGGCCGCGCCTGAGAGGAGGTCGGGTCTCTTGCAGGTGCATGTTCGCCTACAAGCTGGGTCTCAATGACCTACCCCAGTCCGTCGCCTTTTTCAGCACAGTCGATATTGACCAGTGCCTCAGGAAGGAAGTGACCATGGATTGTAAAACCCCTTCCAACCCAACTGGGATGGAAAGGAGATACGGGATTCCCCAGGGTGAGCTCCACACATCTGTTGATTGTGCATGGAATGTACGATGTACGGTGGATGGGCTGTTCGGTGGACAGTGCCCCAGGTCCAAAGAGAACGTAATCACATGGAGGAAGAAACCAGGACTCCAGTATTCCCTCTGTACTGTTTATTATTCCTTCTTCAACCACAGCAGAAACATATTTTAAGATTTCTTGTTTAAGGCTAAAGTGCATTCTTAGGTGAGAACTGTGCAATGAATATCAAACAAGTAAAGCAGAAAGATACATTTAAAAAGAAAGTTAGCTTAGACAAACTTATTTATACAGAAAACGGACAGTCCCAAACATAGCATTACCGTCCCTGACAGGTCCTTTGCTTGCTCGCTCCCGGACACGGGTTCCAGTCCTGGAGGAAGCGTCCTAACCTCTCTACACTATCTTTCAGGTGAAGCGCTGGATATTTACCAGATAATTGAACTCACCAAAGGCTCCTTGGAACAGTGAAGCCAGCCTGGACCTAGCTCTGCCTGGAGGTGCCCTGTATTTGCTCCCGTGGAGCTTCGTCGGGACGGTGTAGGCTCCCACACCCAGGCTTTGCGCTGTGCTTGTGCAGAAGGGCTTGTGGGAGGTCAGCCCTCCTCGGTAGCAGGACCTGCCTAGAACGGACTGCCTCCGAGTGAAGGTGCAGTGGAGCTCCTGGGTTCAGAGCCAAGATGCCACTGCTGGTGCAGGCTGTAGGACAAGGGGGTACTGCTGCTTGTTGGGTAAAAAAGAAAGCAGAAGCCCCAAAGTTCACATTAACTCAGGCATTTCATTTCTTTTTTCCTTTTCTTCTTGGCTGGTTCTTTGTTCTGTCCCTCGTGCTCTGATGCAGTACCCTAGCGGGGGAGAGAAGTAATGCTCAAATGTGATAAGCCTGCTCAGAGGCAGTGGAAATAAAAATCCTTTATCTTCTCATCTAAGCCTGTGGTAGTCCTGCTTTCTCCCCCTTCCCACTCCTAGGTCATACCGTCTGGATGAAGAGGACCGCCTCCCAAGTGGCCGAGCACTATGGGCACTATGGCCCTTCCTGGGAGGGGGCAAGGAGGGAGACGACAGCTGCCTCCGTGTAGCTGAGCCCCTTGACAGCTCTGTGACAGGCCAGGTGCCTTATGGCCTGGAATATGATCATTGGAAGCACGAAGGTTCAGAATGTTTGAGAAGCCAGACATGAGGGTGTCTCACGTAAACTTCACTGACTTCCATCTCAGACAAACCTGAGCTCCCTGGCTCTGCTGCTGCAGCCATACAGCTAAAGGGTGGCAGGGAAAGGAACTGAACTGGTTTTGGAGCTGTAACTCTGGGGCTAGTAATTTCCTAATAGTTCAGAAGGTCACGGGGGAAGACCCCACAGTAAGAACTGGTGTCCTTGCCCCCTTTCTAGAAAGGTCTACCCCAAATGTGCACCACTCTGGGTGACTTCTGTGACAGGCCTTGGTTCTGGCCATGCCTGACCATCTCAGCCTTCCCCGTGCTGCTCCCAGCCAGGCTTTGCCATCAGGCAGGAGAGGGGTCAACTTCGAAGCAGCCACTGACCTCGTTGTCATCTTCGTCCTCTTTAAGAACCACATCCAGGATGTTTCCCTTAATCTTGAAGTCCCTTGAGGTGCTGAGCTTCATGTGCTGCATCAGGTTCACCTAGGACAGAATCGCAGGTGTGGGCACGTTTCCCTCTGGCTAGGACAGGCCCTTCAGCCTCTCCTCCAGGCATGCACACCCTCCTGACTTGGTTTTCCTAGTTCCTACATGATGTCTGGATTCAGGTCATCAGGTCACAGAGAACAGGGTTCTAGTTTCTTCCCCAGTTCTCCAGAGGCAGTTGTGTTGCCTCTGTGGGCCGGGACCCCGCCCAGGTAAATGGAAATAGTAACAAAGAACAGCAGGTTTACCTTGGACTTCTTTGAAAGGTGGATGAGGAATTTTTCATACTGTTCAATGGCGAAGATGAGATTAGGGATTGGCTTGGTTTCCCGAAGGACTCGGGCCTATGGGGCAAAGAGGAGAAAACCTAAGTTTCAGGCTCAAGGGTTTTTGGAGTTGTCCTCTGAAGCATTTAGTAGCCTTCCAAGCAAAGGGGGCTATGTTCCAATACTCTATGATTTCTGGCAGTTAAATCTCAAAGGACCATAAGGATGGCCCTGAATCTGGTTTGTAATTTCTCAGTATTTAATGTTTATGTAGGCTGGCTGACAGAGAAGGACCAGATCGAGGATGTGAGGAAAAAAAGGGATGGGAATGACATTTTCTTGGAGAGAATTGTGTATGTGAACATTTAAATTCGTGTGTTCCTCTTGCCTATGTGGTATTCTACAGTATAAATCCACTTATTTTTAACTTTTTTTAAGTTTATATTTTTAATAAATGCATTTATATAGCCTGTTTCGCCAGTCCACTTAGTGTGCATCTGAAGCCTTGCTAGGCCCATCCTGTACACAGGCCTTAGTCTCCACTCTCTGCAAGCAGAACTGGAAAGTGCACCAGGGCAGCTCCTGAAATCCAGCGGTTACTGCCAAGCTGCCGAGACTGGACAGCCACCTTTGCCAGCAGCGTCCTAAAACACCCTGGTCCCTGCTCTTGCCTCACCTCTTCCATGTCCTCTCAGGAGCATCTTCTGGGTTCATTAACTTTTCCTAAAACAATTCCTTCCCAATGAGAATCCTAAGTCATTTTTCAAGAAAGCTTAAGATCATCAGGTGCTTACTGAAAACTGTGGTTTTTGGTTCAGAGAAAGATGTTCCCTCTGAACACAAAACCTGTGAGCAGAGAAGCAGCTCCCCCCACTTCTGTAAAATCGCAGTCGCGATTACAGTGCACACGTGCCACAGTTTACCCATCGACACTGCACGGCTTAGTGGTCAGTACACAGAGTTGTGCAACCACCACCCTGATCAAAGGACATTTTTGTTACCTCAGAGGAATCTCAGACCATTTCAGCAGGCATCCGCCAGCCGCTGATCCACGCTGTTTCTAGCTCTGCCTGTCCCAGGCCCCTTCTATAAATGGAATCCTGCTGCACGTGGGCTCTGTGTGATCAGCCTCTGTCCCTGCCCGTTTCCACAGCTCCTGGGGCTGCTGTGCGAGCGGCGGCTGCTTACCATGGCCGTGGCAACAGCCGGGGCTTTCCCCTTCTTCTCTCCTGTACATGTTAGGCTCTGACTCTTGTTCTAAAAACACAGAAACAAATTCTCTCATTCCTGAAGATGCTGTTGGTAATGTTCTAAAAAGGGGATTACAGCAGAATATGGGGGGTTGTAAAGGAATCCAGTCTGAGTGAAGAGAACGGACGGCAGATGCTGGAAGATGGGAAACACTGACATTTATGATCCTCAGATGTTCTGGGGTTTTTGCTGGAGGGAGGTTTACAGTCTTGGTCTTTAAAACTAGCACATAGGGAAGGGGCAGTTGGGTGGCTCAGTGGTTCAGCATGAACCATGCTCCAGTCATGATCTCAGGGTCCTGGGATTGAGTTCAGCATTGGGCTCCCCGCAGGGATCCTGCTTCTCCCTCTGCCTGCGTCTCTGTGTCTCTCATGAATAAATTAAAAAAACTTAAAAAGAACCAGCGCATGGAAGGCGGGACTTACTGTTCTTATACCAGAACAGCCAAGGGACTGGCGAGGTCCAGAGATGGTCACAGTGGGGACAGTCAGGATGGTGGCTGGAATAGTGATTTCCCAACTGGCAGTTGGCTCAGAGGGTTTCCATAAAGGAGAGGAAGCCAGAGAGTGCTCCCAGGGCCTGCTGTCTTCTCACTTAGAGGCAGACACCAGACATGTCTTGTGTGCCAGGTGGTTATGTACTTGAGAAAGGCTTAAAGGTCATAGGAATGCGTCCCTGTGTCGTAAATATTGCAGACTAAAGAACTCCTGGAGAAAGAATAAAGGGAACCAAGGATAAGGCAAATGAGAGTCAAGACCCATGCCACATGAGGGCTACACAAAATACAGGAGACTTTACCTGGAGAGATGTGCTGTGCCTGCTAGGAATGAACACACCTGCCCCATGGGACAGGTAAGAAGATCAAAAACAGAGACCCGGAAATAGGGAGAACTGTACCACTGCAACCATGTGAGCGGCAGGAGGCTTAGTCCACGTGGCACGTTTTGGAAACTGAGAAATGACAGGGATTCCAGAAGGCCTGGTGTGAAGAAGTCTACTACTAGCCCTCGAACAGGCTGGAGGGTGAGGCCCTTTTAAGAGAGGGTCAGGGAGGCACCGTAGAACCCGTGTGACCAAATGGGAAGCGAGATGTCTCCAGAGGTGGGACCCACGATGGAACCCTGCTGAAACTCCTTAAAGGACTCCCTATCCACTGGGGGGACTGGCCATTCCTGCTGGGTCAGGAGGGCTAGAATCCCAGCCAGAAGAGGCATCTTGGACAGGTGCACAGCTCTGAGCAGGATGCTAAGGGTTTGAAAGTACCAGTTTTCATTGCTTTCTTCCCATTGAGAGCCAAGGCTGGGGTGGGGGTGATGGTGGTGGTGGTGAAGGGGCTCTAAGAGAATAAATAGCTCTCTGAAAGATGTGACAAATGCAATCCTGGTTTCTAGATAAGAACTGTAATTAATGGAACCATTCATTAGTCTTTCAGGGTTGCTCGTGAAGCATATTTCACAGAGAACAAGGTCTGTGCACAACGCATAGGCGGAAAGCAAGTAGGGCATTGCTATAAAAGTGGTTACAATCGATTGCTTTAACAAGTGGTTCTAGACTCTTGGCCCAGGTTAACCCATTAGTGCACATCTGATTGATTCCTTGACAATCAGTAACTGCCCTGCAATCCTCTTCACTTCAGGGACTAAGGGACCTCGGGAGACCATGTGTTTTCATGCGTTTAAGCCAGAGGTTCTCAACTGGGGGTGATTTTGGCCTTTTGGGACATTTGGTAATTTCTAGAGACGTTTTTGAATGTCTGCTACTGGGGCCGCTACTGGCATTTAGTAGGTGGAGGCCAGCAATGCTGCTAAATGTTCCAGAATGCACGGAAGAGGCCCCAAGTCAAGGAATTATCTGGCTCAAGAGATGTCAATAATGTAGGGGCCTAAAATCCCTGGTTTAAGCCAACGGTAACAGTGTCTCAGGTATCACAAGAACCTGGTGGTATTTGCGACCAGAGGATATTTACAATTTCTCCTAATCCTAAAAGACCCTACTACTTTATTTAGGAGAACTTCATTAATTTGTCTGGCAGAAACAGCCCACATCCCCTCCGCTCCTTGAAAGGGCTGCTACTCCCACATACACTGTGCCATCTGGCCCATGGGCTCACTGCTACTTTACTCACACACCAAAGGATGGCCAATGGCATGAATTTAGAATCACCCAGAAATGAACTAAGTCACAGCTCAAACATGCATGTTCCTTCCCTGCTCCAAATGCAAGCCTATCAAACACTTTCTCCAAATTAAGAAAAACTTTTTTTCTTTGTATAATTAAAGATTTCTTTGCTGCGAAAACCTCAAGCCTTGGCTTGGTCCCAAGTGGGTGTCTTTAGCTTACGGTAAGTAGGGAAGAATCTGCCTGGACGCTGGGCTCAAGGGGTCAGGCAGTCCCCTGGGGACACAAGAAGTCCTTCCCTACCGGAAGATCTATTGTGATATTGACTCTGAATCGCTTACCTGTACGTAAGAAATGAAAGAATAGCACAGGGGGGTCAGATGAGAACCGGACAGTTTCACCTGCAGCAAAAGAGAAGGAAATCAATTGAACTGTAGGAACAGAAGGCTTCCCCCATTCCTAGGAAAGGAATTTTCAACTCACCAGCTTTTCCATATTTTTCAGAATTCCTCCGGAGCTCTGACATACCTGCAGATACTAAGATACCAAAGATTCCCAGATTTAGCCTAGGTCCTCTAAGAGCATCCCGACATCTACAGGTGAGTCAGTGAGCTAGGGGAGTGGGATCTGCAGCTGACAGGA